CCTGAAAATTTTCTTCACTCAACAAAAATGTCCTTTGGTGATATACCTGATTTTATTTTAGTGGCTGCATAGTATTCTTTTGAATTCAGTATTCCTCTAGAGATAATCACATATTCCTTCTATTCTTTATTTCGCAAGTAACACTTTAATGACCACTCACAATTTTCAGTAGTTTGCTGGTAAATATTTAATAGTTGGCTCTCTGAATTGAAAAAAAAAAAAGGCAGGCCTGATTTGTAACATTTGCCAGTTTCTGTGGTGTAAATATCCTCACTTTCAGTAGTTTCAAGATATAGCCTCAGTATCACGGAAAGAAAGAAGTTTTGTGCGATTAAGTGTGCTCCAGCAGATCCCTGAAGCTTTTACTGTGTATGTTATCTGAGTGTTTTACATCACAAGAAAGGAAAACATTAAAAGGCAATTATCACTTGCCAGACAGGGGAAACATAAGTAGCTTATTAGCCATAATAAAGTTCCACCCTGAATTAAATGCATTCCTTTCGGATTCTAGGGAAAGTCTTCTATCACTTCAAATAGAGTCTATTTAAAAGTCAAGAAAATTTCAAAGCTCTCCTTTTCATTAGCTACATAAGAAAATTATTTAAAGAAAGTAGTCTTGATATATTACTAAAATATATCTTAAAAATTAAAGAGCTATAAAACCACCAATTAGAATATTCAGACATAAACATATCTTTGATGAAACCATGCCGACCTCTGCCTTCTGTGGGTGACTAACATTAGCAGGCCTGAATGACACAGGGGTGCACAGAGAACCACCTCAACTAGAGGGTGCGTGGAGTCACCTGTGGGGCTGGTTGAACTGCTTACTGCTGGGCCCAAGCACAGGGTTTCTGATTTCTGTGTCTGCTGGCCAGGGTGTGGCCAGTACTTGCATTCCTGTCGAGTTCCAGGTATGCCTTGGGGGCCTCACTTGGAGAACCACCACTCTACAAGAAGTCTGGGCCCAAAGCCCAGAGAACCTGCCACGCAATGCTACTGCATGAACTTCTACCACTAGATCAGGTTCTTCCAGCTGGAAACTTTCTTCCTGTTAAACCACAGGCAAATTTAGAAATGCAGTGAGTTAAGTTCCTATCAGTCATCAGAGCTTTGGGGAACAGATCTGAGAGGCAGCTGCTTGAAAGCCTTATTACAAAGTAAAACATCTACGATAAGACTCTTGAAAAGAGAAGGCATGGCTTCTGATATTAGTGTAAGTAAACATACAAAGCAGTATCATCAATTAAGGTGCTCAAACTTCTCATTCATAGGGGTGGCCACATGAACAATGTCTGGGTATGAATTCTGTACCTGCAGCTGTGACTGCATAATCTTAAACAATTTATTCACCTTCTGTGCATTTCTGTCAAGTTGCCTCAGTTTCCTGATCTGTGAAATGGAAACAATAATAGCAATAATTACCTCCAAGGATAGTGAGAAGGTATGATTTGTGATCAGCTCCCCAGTTCTATAGTAAGAAGAAAACTTTTTTTCAGAATAAACTTGAAGAATAATGGATTAGACAAACTACATAAGTTTCTTTGCTTTTAATATGTCATGCACAGGAGAATACTCTAAAGGAGGAATATATGTTTGCTTGTTTGTTTTCCCATAGGTTATTTATCCACAGAACTTTGTTTTTGTAAGTAACATTTTGAGGCCAACAATTCTTAGGATATTATTACAATTATGCTAATCGACTGGTATTCTTTAACTGAAATAAATATACAGCTGAAAGAATTTGGCATATGACTTAAGTATACCTAAGCCATAGAAACAGAGTTCGGTGAAGTTAAAAATCCTTGTCACCCATTAGAATTTTCTATACAATACCTTTATTAAAACTATATGAGTATTATTTAAAAATTTCCCAATGAAACACATAAAATCTGATCCATACACATACTTCTTCATTCATGCCATGGGCCCAGGTGTCCCCTAGTGCCCATCTGAACTGGTGGCATTTGCTGCATCTATTCCTTTATTCTTGCCCACATCCGATACTTCCAATAAATATTTTTGAGTACATCTAAATAATGACTGTAGGTACTAGAGATTTAGCTGAATCAAGCATATTTTTATACTAAATCAAGCATAAGAAGTTATCTTTTGAAGACAATTTTTATACAAAGCTGAGCAGTGCTGGCTTGGAATTCCTCATGAATGTTAGTCAGATGTCAGCTGGGACTGTAACCATCTGAAGAGTGGATGGCATTGGAGGAGGAGAGTCACACAGCTGGCAACTTGTTGTGGACTGTGGGGGAGGCTTTCTCCATGGAACTGCTTGAGGAGTTTGCATGGGACTGGAAGAGAACTCTTATGGCATGAGCACAGGGTTGGGAGAAAACCTGGAAGCCATCTTGGATGTCATCTGCCATAGAATTGGAGAGCAATTGAAGGTTTGAGGCAGAAGTACTACCATCTGGATTATTTTCGAAGGATTTTTTTTTTTTTTTTTTTT